CCAGAATTGGACACAGCATTCTAGATGTGGTCTGATCAAGGCAGAATAGAGGGGTAGCATGACTTCCCTGGATCTAGACAATAGATTCCTATTTATGCAGGGCATAATCCCATTAGCTTTTTTTGCCACCGCATTACTTCGTTGGCTCATGTTTAACTTGTTGTCCATGAGGACACCCAAGATCTTTTTCACACTTATTGCTCTCGGGCCAGGCACCCCCCATTCTATATCTTTGCATTTCATTTTTTCTGCCTAAGTGGACTATCTCGTATTTGTCCCTGTTGAAATTTATTTTGTTAGTTTTGGCCCATCTCTCTAATTTGTTCAGATCGTTTTGAATTCTGCTCCTGCCTCCTAGACTATTGGCTATCCCTCCCAATTTGGTGTCATCTGCAAACTTGATGATCATGCCTTCTAACTGTTCATCTAAGTCATTAATAAAGATGTTGAACAGGACTGGGAACAGGACAGAACCCTGCAGCACTCGGCTCATCATTTCTTTCCAGGATGAAGAGGAAGCTTGGTCTGCACCCTCTGGGTTTGTTCGCTTAACCAATTACAGAGCCACCTAACCTTAGTTTTGCCTAGCCCACATTTGACTAGTTTGTTTGCCAGAAGGTCATGGGGGACCTTGTCCAAGGCGTTACTGAAATCCAGATACACTACAACCAAGGCATTCCCCTCATCTACTCAGCTTGTAACTCTACCGAAAAAAAGAGATCAGATTAGTCTGGCATGGCTTGTTTTTGATAAATCCGTGTTGACTATTAGCGATGATGTCATTTGTTTCTAAGTGTTTGCAGACCACTTCCTTAACTATCTTTTCCAGAATCTTGCCTGCTATCGACGTGAGGGGTGACTGGACGATAATTGTTTGGGGCATCCTTTTTTCCTTTCTTGAATATAGGGACCACATTTGTCCTTCTCCAAACTGCATGGCTTTTGACCCACAGTTCACTAAAAATACAAACAAATTTTACCCAAGCAACATTAGAAGTTTAGCTCTTTTAAAGTTCAAGCTAAACCCTAGAGTGGATTCATGGCATGATTGACATTGAAGTCAGCCCCTAGCATGGCTTTTGCCCGCAGTTCACTAAAAAAAACCCACAAATTTTACCCAAGCAACATGAGAAGTTGCCTAGGTTTTCAAAAATCTAAAACATGATTAGATTATTGGTCCAATGAATGCCAAAATAAATTGCATGCAAAACAGTATGTGTATGTTTTTGCATGTATGCGTGTCCTTCCAAAAGACTCTTTGGCTTGTGATAACCTAGTGAATATTATAGGATTTTCTTAGGCAAGGTATACAAAGGGCCCTTGCTATTTGGAGGGGTTTGATTCCAGAATTCTTCTTGGATACCAAAATCTGTGGATGCTATACAATTGCATAGTCAAATTCTGTCCCTTATATAAACATGTGGATATTTAAAAAATAAATTCAATATGGTTGAATCTATGGATGCGAAAAGCACACTCCAGAGGTGGTTTGCCTATTATTTCCTCTGAAATATAGCACCTGGCATTCCTGATATACTTTGCACAAATTGATAAGATGAAGTGGAATATGGATTTGGCTTTTTAAAAACCTTTTAATTTAATCTTTTAAACTCTAAAATTTAAAATCTTTTAAATGTGAAATTGTTATTGTGTGAATTTGTTGATCTGTGTTTAATTGTCTGGATGTCCTTGCTACTTGTGTAGCTCTAAATTGAGTTTAGCTTTTGACTTATGTTATTTTGTATTGTTATACGGCATTGAACGTTTGCCTTTTTATTTGTTGTGAGCCGCCCTGAGTCCCAACTGGGGAGTTCAGGATAGAAATAAAGTTTTCATTCATTTCATTCATTTCTTGGTGGTTTCCCACCAGAACTGACCTTGCTTAGCTTCCAGGATCCAGTGCCTTTAGGGTATTTAGGTCTATTTACCTTTGTGTGTGTGTGTCAGAAGCAACTTGAGAAACTGCAAGTCACTTCTGGTGTGAGAGAATTGGCCATCTTGAAGGACATTGCCCAGGAGACACCTGGATGATTGGTGCTTCTCTCATGTCCCCGCATGAGAAGCTAGAGCTCGACAGATGGGAGCTTATCTCGCTCCCTGGATTCGAACCACCAACCATTCTGGTCTATATACCAGTAAGAACCTCAGTGCTTTTAAGAAACAAAGAAGGCACTGACCCAAATGTCAAGACAGTCATTAGTTATGGACCAAGCATTTTGGCCTGCATCAATAGGAGTATTGTGTCTAGATCCAGGGAAGTCATGCTACCCTTCTATTCTGCCTTGGTTAGACCACACCTGGAATATTGTGTCCAATTCTGGGCACCACAATTGAAGAGAGATGTTGACAAGCTGGAATGTGTCCAGAGGAGGGCAACTAAAATGTTAAGGGTCTGGAGAACAAACCCTATAAGGAGTGGCTTAAAGAGCGGGAATGTTTAGCCTGAAGAAGAGAAGGCTGAGGAGACATGATAGCCATGCATAAATACGTGAGAGGAAGTCATATGGAGGAGGGAGCAAGCTTGTTTTCTGCTGCCCTGGAGACTTGGATGCAGAATAATAATAATAATTATTATTATTATTATTATAACCCGCCACCATCTCCCTGAAGGGGACTTGGGGAGGCTAATATGAGGCCGAGCCCAAAAATAATGCAGCATAATTAGACACAAATCAACAGAAAAATTACATCTTGACAAAATACATAAAATAACAAAATAAACAGTGCAAAATAACATAGTAAAAATCCAATACAAAGGGCGGGCCAGATGCACGAGATAAATTGTTAAAATATTAAGACCCTGGGTGAGATAGGAACAGAAAAAAGTGTAATTATGAGAGAGGAGCCTAAGAAGGATGAGAAGTGGAGTTTGGCCTTTATTAAGGACAGGGGAAAGTGCATCATGAGGACAATGGCTTCAAACTGCAAGAAAGGAGATTCCATCTGAACATGAGGAAGAGCTTCCTGACTGTGAGAGCTGTTCAGCAGTGGAACTCTCTGCCCCTGAGTGTGGTGGAGGCTCCTTCTTTGGAGCCTTTTAAATAGAGTCTGGATGGCCATCTGTCAGGGGTGCTCTGAATGTAATTTTCTTGCTGCTTAGCAGGGGGTTGGACTGGATGGCCCATGAGGTATCTTCCAACTCTATGATTCCTTATTTTATACTAGCCGTCCCCTGCCATGCATTGCTGTGGCCCACATGGGGGTTCTGTGTGGGAGGTTTGGCCCAATTCCATCATTGGTGAGGTTCAGAATGCTCTGTGATTGTAGGTGAACGATAAATTCCAGCAACTACAACTCCCAAATGTCAAGAGTCTATTTCCCCCAAACTCCACCAGTGTTCACATTTGGGCATATTGTGTATTCTTGTAGAGTTTGGTCCATTGTTTGAGTCCACAGTGATCTCTGAATGTAGGTGAAGTACAACTCCAAAACCAAAGGACACTGCCCACCAAACCATTCCAGTATTTTCTGTTGGCCATGGGAGAACTGTGTGCCAAGTTTGGTTCAATTCCATCGTTGGTGGGGTTCAGACTGCTCTTTGATTTTAGGTGAGCAACTACAACTCCCAAATGACAAAATCATTTTTTGAGTGAAGGACATACGTTGGGTTCTTAGGTGTCTTGTGTCCAAATTTGGTGTCAATTGGCCCACTGGTTTTTGAGTTCTGTTAATCCCACAAACGAACATTACATTTTTATTTATATATAGAATAGAATAGAAGAATAGATAGATAGATAGATCAGTGTTTCTCAACCTGGGGGTCGGGACTCCTGGGGGGGGTCGCGAGGGGGTTTCAGAGGGGTCACTGAAGACCATCAGAAAACACATATTTCTGATGGTCTTCGGAACCCCTTTGGCATAGTTGTTTGGGTTCACAGTGCTCTCCGGATGTAGGTGAACTGCATCCCTAAATCACTGTTAATTCATCCCAAATCCCTCCAGTATTTTCCATTGGTTATGGGAATTCTGTGTAGGAAGTTTGGCATAATTCTATCAATGGTGGGGTTCAGAAGGATCTTTGATTGTAGGTGAACTATAAATTACAGCAACTCCCAAATGTAAAGGTGTATTTTCCCCAAGGTCCACCACTGTTCACATTAGGGCATTTTGAGTATTCATGTCAAGTTTGGTCCAGATCCATCATTGTTTGAGTCCACAGTGCTCTCTGGATGTAGGTGGACTACAACTCCAAAACTCAAGGTCAATGCCTATCAAACCCTTCCAGTATTTGCTGTTGGTCACGGGAGAACTGTGTCCCAAGTTTGGTTCAATTCCATCATTGGTGGAGTTCAGAATGCTCTTTGATTGTATGTGAATGATAAATCTCAGGAACTACAACTCCCAAATGACAGCATCAATCTCCCCTTCAACCCCACCAGTATTGGGTGTATTGTGTATTTGTGCCGAATTTGGTCCAGTGAATGAAAATACATCCTGCATATCAGATACTTACATGACAATTCATAACAGCAGCAAAATTACAGTTGTGAAGTAGCAACAAAAATAATGTTATGTTTGGGGGTCACCACACCATGAGAGAACTGTATTAAGGGGTCGCGGCATTAGGGAGGTTGAGAACCACTGAGATAGATGATAATGGCACTCGGGTTTTAGGAGTTTCCACCAGGCGGCCATTAGGTGGCGCTAAGAGTGGCTTTCCTGGTTTGTTTTCGACGCCATGATTGCTGTGGGAAGAAAGCCCTTTTCCTTGTGAGGGAACAAAGGACCCCTTTCATTTTGATTGTTGCGAGTAGGGATTGCGATACATCTCCCCCTTCAGCTCTCAAAACTTTTGCCCAAATAGTGTAAAAGGTGGTGCTGGGGGATATCTTTTTAAAACTGAGAAAACTGCGGGGTCTTTACCTATCGCTTCGGCAGCCTAAGGGAAACTGCACTATTTCTGCGCATGCGCCGCTGACCTCCTCCCGGCGCGAGGGCGGTTGTGCGTGCGCGCGCGAGCGAGTGAGTGCGTGCGTGCTTCCGCCTTTCTCGTGCGTGCGTGCGTGCGTGCGCGCGCGCGCCTTTCTATATGTGTCTCAGAGAAGCAGCCGGCGGGGAACATGAATACCGTGCTGACCCGCGCCAATTCGCTCTTCGCCTTCTCGCTGAGCGTGATGGCGGCGCTCACCTTCGGCTGCTTCATCACGACGGCCTTCAAGGAGCGCACGGTGCCCGTCAGCATCGCAGTTTCCCGGGTCATGCTGTGAGTCCAGAGGGAAAGAGATGGGCGTTTTCCTTGGGCCACGAAGCCCGAGGGCAGGGAGGGAGGCTTACTCAGGACCCTTCCTAAACCCCCTGAAGGCCCCAGCTCGCCTTTAGTCTTCCACACTGGAATGAATGCAGTTTGACACCACTTTCACCGCCATGGCTGAAAGCTGTGGAGTCCTGGGAGTCGTAGTCTCAGGCCCCTTCCACACAGCTGAATAAAATCCCATATTCTCTGCTTTGAACTGGAATATATGGCCGTGTGACTCAGATAACCCAATTCAAAGCAGTAATAGGATTTTCTGCCTTGATATTCTGGGTTACATGGCTGTGTGGAAGGGCCCTTATAGCTTTCTCTGCCAAACAGTGCTGACGCCTCAGAACCACAACTTCCAGAATGCCAATAGCAGTCAAAGTGCATTGGGTCAGGTCAAATATCCAATATCCCAAGTGTTTGGAACCAAAAATACTTTAAAGTTTGGGTTTTTATTTTTATTATTATTATTATTTAGGGTTTGGATTAAGAATGATTTTCTTATTCATAAGTCCCCCTAGGGGTGAGAAAAGCGGTATATAAATGCTGTAAATAATAATAATAATAATAATAATAATAATAAGACATGGCCAAAAGCGAGGATGAGATGAGGAGCCTTCTAATCAAGGTGAAAGAAGAAAGCGCAAAAGCTGGGTTGCACTTAAACATAAAAAACCCAAGATTATGGCAACAAGAATGATTGACAACTGGGGAATAGTGGGAGAAAACGTGGAGGCAGTGACAGACTTTGTATTTCTAGGTGCAAAGATTACTGCAGACGCAGACTGCAGCCAGGAAATCAGGAGACACTTCTTGAGAGGAGCACAATGTCCAATCTCGATAAAATAGTGAAGAGTAGAGACATTACACTGGCAACGAAGATCCGCATAGTTAAAGCAATGGTATTCCCCATAATCACCTACGGATGTGAGAGCTGGACCTTAGGGAAGGCTGAGCGAAGGAAGATAGATGCTTTTGAACTGAGGTGCTGGAGGAAAGTTCTGAGAGTGCCTTGGACTGAGAAGATCCAACCAGTCCATACTTCAGGAAATAAAGTCCGACTGCTCATTGGAGGGAAGGATATTAGAGACAAAGTTAAGTATTTTGGCAACACCATGAGAAGAAAGGAAAGCTTAGAGAAGACAATTATGCTGGGGGAAATGGAAGGAAGAGGGGCCGACCAAGGGCAAGATGGATGGATGGCATCCTTGAAGTAACTGTCTTGACTTTGAAGGAGCTGGGGGTGGTGATGGCCGACAGGGAACTCTGGCGTGGGCTGGTCCATGAGGTCACAAAGAGTCAGAAATGACTGAATGAATGAACAACAACAACAAATGAGACATCTGAAGAGATGAGATCCAAGCCTAAACACAAATGTGGCACAGTTGGCTCTTTTATGCATATGTGGTAGGACTGGGACAAGATACAAATATTTTATAATTAGAACTATGAGGGCAAAAAGTAGTATTTTTAGTCAGAAAATTGAGAGCAAGAGCAGCACTAACAAATGGGCAGATATCATAAAACATATAGAATCATAGAGTTGGAAGAGACCTCATGGGCCATCCAGTCCAACCCCCTGCCAAGAAGCCGGAAAATCACATTCAGACACCCCAACAGATGGCCATTCAGCCTCTACTTAAAAGCCTCCAAAGAAGGAGTCTCCACCAACACCAGGGTAGAGAGTTCCACTGATGAACAGCTCTCATAGTTAGGAAGTTCTTCCTCATGTTCAGGTAGAATCTCCTTTCTTGTAATTTGAAGCCATTCTGCTTCCTAGTCTCCAGAGCAGCAGAAAACAAGCTTGCTCCCTCCCCCTATGACTCCCCCTCACATGTTTATACATGGCCCTCATCATGTCTCCTCTCAGCCTTCTCTTCTGCAGGCTAAACATGTCCAGCTCTTTAAGCCACTTTTCAGAGAACTTCTCCAAACCCTTGATCATTTTAGTTGCCTTCCTCTGGATGCATTCCAGCCTGTCAACGTCTCCCTTAAATTGTGGTGCCCAAGTAACAGTAGCTTTGGGCTGTAAAGAGCAGGAAAAATGGGAATGCAAAAATGGTTTGAATCTTTAGCACACTGTATGCACCAGGATTATGTTTTTGAAAGAATGAAATACACAACAGGTTGTAAGGAGAATTGAGTCTCATAATGGGGAACTCTGATAGCTAGAGTAAAAGAAAAAATGTGTTATAAGCCGCTTTGGGTCCCTTGGTGGGAGAAAAATGGGATACAAATAAAGAGTTATTATTATTATTATTATTATTATTATTATTATTATTATTATATAAAGAACTAAACCGCACTCTCTTCATGATCAATTCAAATAGCACTCAAAGATACAACTGTTCCCAGTGGGTGGGGGCAAAGTGGGGGCGGGGGAGAAAAAATGCTGGACACAAGTGGTGGATAAGGGTGGAATTTATTGAGTGAAAATGTAATTGGAATTTAACTATTGAGATTTTTATTACTCTACTTGTGTCTACAATTAATAAGAGGGAGAGATCCAGGCCTAAACACAAAACTCACTTATGAATGAATGCAGTTTGGCTCCACTTTAATTGCTATGGCTCAGTGCCATGGATTCATGGGAGTTGTAGTTTGGTGAAGCAGCAGCACTCTTTGGCAAAGAAGGCTCAAACTACAATTCTACAGTCTCCCATCAGGCACCATTAAGCTGCGGTCTTCCAGCTGTTTGGGCCTCCAACTCCCAGAAGTCCTAGTCAGATTGTTCAATGGTCAACCAATAGCCTGGTCTAAATGCACCCTATGTTTCATATATGCCTCACACACATAACCTGAAGGTTGTTTTATACACAGTATTTTTAATAGGTTTTTCCTGGAGAAAGTTGGGTTAAATTGAACCATCAGAAAGCAAAGGTGGCATTGTCTCAGGCACCCACATGGATGGTTTTGGATTTTGCAACTCCACATAAGGGTCACTGAACTTTTATAAGCAGTCCCCAAATTAAAAACATCCGACTTTAGAAATGAATCATAGTTAAGAACAGGTAAGACAACAGGAAGTAAGAAAAATCTACCCCTCAGAAAGGAAATACATTCCTACCTCTGAGGAAGCTTGCCATAGATGCAGGCGAAATGTCAGGAGAAAATGCCTTTAGAACATGGCCATATAGCCCGAAAAAACCTACAACAACCCAGTGATTCCAGCCATGAAAGCCTTCGACAATACATTCCTGGAAGAGCTTTCATGGGGAAAAAGTGTCTCTACTGAAGCTTTATCATCCTTGTTTCCACAACCAGCCAAATTTTTCAAAATCCAATTCTCACAGGTACAGAAAGTGAGATGAAATCTAATCAACAGGGGAAGAGAGAGCAAAACAAACACCATGCTACCCAAAGCTGTATATATATGTGTATATATTTGGCTGGAGGTACATTTTAAAATGTACCTGTTCCAACTTACATACAAATTCAACTTAAGAACAAACCTATCTTGTCCGTAACTTGGGGACTACCTGTACTTAGGTGGGAAGCCAACAAATCATCAGGTGCTTTGGCTATATTTCCAAGGAAGGAACTGGCAAAATCATCGCACCTTGTTTAAGAAAATCTGTTTTTATTCATGGGATCATGATAATTCTACAGGCAATTTAAAGACGTGTGCACACAGGGTTACTATATTGCAATATTGTAGTTTTGTCAAAGGCTTTCATGGATGGAATCACTGGGTTGCTGTAAGGTTTTCGGGCTGTATGGCCATGTTCCAGAAGTATGCTCTCCTGACATTTCTCCTGCACTGATGGCGGGCATCCTCAGAGGTTGTGAGGTCCTCACAACCTCTGAGGATGCCTACAATCGATGCAGGCAAAACGTCAGGTGAGAATGCTTCTGGAATATGGCCATACAGCCCGAAAAACTTACAGCAATCCAATATTGTAGTTGTTTGTAATATATGTGGTGTGCTGAATACAAAACACAATACAACATTAAGTGTGTCACACACCGTTCTTTAAAAAATATTGACCAATTTTGTTCAAGTCACAGCTGACAGAACAGAAACATCTAAGCAAGTTGTATATGCAATTTCTGAGGTCAGTTTTGCACTTCAAATGCCAAATTCCTATCGATCATAGAATCAGAGTTGAAAGAGACCACAAGGGCCATACAGCATACTTTTAAAAAATAAGTTTTTGTGAGTCTCAGGTTTTCAGGCCTGTGACAGTCTTAATTTTCTGTGTAATTTTTTTTAGATGAACATAATGAGTTTCTTTAGAAATAGGACCCAAGTCTAAGCTCAAAACTCATATATGGCATAGTTTCCTCTGAACAGCTAGTGATAAACAGCGCAATTAACATTAGGATTTGGGGTACCTTTATAGAAAGAGCCTAAGTATCATAATCTCACACATACATTCACACTATTTTTCCATATATTTTGAAATTACACAAGGGCTTGGATTTAAAATCAGCATGCTTTTTAAAAAATGCCCATTGCTCGTTTGAACTGTTTTTGTTACTTCTCTGCCACTGAAGTCCTATTTTCATTCTGAAGCAAATAAACCTTTCCTTCCTGCCTTCTCATTTTTCTGTGAGCCAATGAGCAAACAACACGAACTCTACAGTGCTGTAGTCTGCCCTCTAGCAGGCTCCCTTAGTGTGCATGGAAAAGCAACTCAGCCATTGGGGCGAGTGAACGTCAGAGGACTCTTTCACAAGCAGTTTATTGCCAAGCATGTGCTCCTTTCTATTACATTAGAAAAGAAGCTCACTGTAGCAAAACTTCCTTTTTTTCCTTTGTTTTTCTTCGACAAAACCAAGTCTGTTTTCAGAGCAATTATGAGTGAGCCTCATTCTGAGTTATTCCAGAGATGCCACTAGAATCATTTGTGCATCTTGAAGAGCTTTAAGAAGGAACATCTCACCTGAATGTGTTAAATTATGAGTTTGAAATCTGATGCACCATATTCAATTAACACATGCAAAATTAACTGCTCCCTGTGAATTAAGTTATGGTAATGCATGCACTTTGTAGCTTCTCATATATTGTGTCATCTGGATAAGATCAGTTGCCAAAATGTCATTACACTGTAATTGTTGCAACTCCAGACAGTAAATAAATAAAAATAATGTAGCCACATATTACAGGTGTCACAGCTGACATTACTTTGGCACACTTTTGTCAAACACTTTACATAGCTTCTTAATTTTTCTATTTGCTAGCATGTAAATTATGTTCTGTTTATTATATTCTGTACAGAAGGTAGTTTGATCAGTCTACAAAATGTAAGAGAGTATTTAATAAGTAGCTTAGCAAGGGAATGTGTCCCTGATGGTTGTGCTATACAATAGGCCCTCAATATTGATTAAAGGGCTTCCCATGGATTCCAAAATCTATGGATGCTCAAATTCCGTCGTATGTAGTGGTGTAGTAAAATAGTCTCTCTAATATAAAAAGGCAAAAAAACAAAGTCTCGTTTGGATTTTCAAAAAAATATTTCCAAGTCACATGTAGTGTAGTCCTTCGATGCAGAATCTGTGAAAACAGAGGACCTTGCTTCATCAAAAGCCAACATCTGTGGCTTTTGGTGAATCATGGTACCCTTCTGGGATGCTTTACTAGAATGGGACTTGGGAAACACTGTTTTATAGTGTCTCCATTCTTCTTGAGAAGAAGAACACAGAAAGTGATGTTTCTGGACTCCTGTTTGATTCCTTGACCTTTTGCCTATGGAATACCACAGTGTTTCATTTTGTTCGCATAATCATGAAAAACTGGAAGGGGATCTAAAGTTGAATGCCAATGGAAGTCAACTCTGTTTTTCTTTTCCTCCATACCCCATGGGTATGTTTCCTTGGTAAACCAATATGTTGGTGAAACTTAATGCATACAAATTTAATCTAAACAAGGCCTATTGTGAAGATTAATGCAAACAGGGCCAACCAAAAGGCAGATCAGGGTATCAAAATTCAGCCTACACTGAATGGAGTTAAAACTCCCCCTGGAGACAAATGTTTGAAATTTAGATTACAGTATGGCTTCCTTCCTTATCCATAGACTCAATGTCCACAATTTCACTTATCAACACTTTGAAAAATATTCCTCTTGGTATTGTTTGTTTGCCTCTCCAGGCCACCAGTGCAATTCTATTTTATTCTTCTGACACAACCATAGTACAGAATAGCACTGGAGGACCCAGAGAGGCCAACAATTGAATGTGCTGTGGACCTCTCTGGGTCCTTCAGTGCTATGCTATGCTTCCTTGTTTAGTCAAAAAATAGAGTGCTATTATCTGTAGTTTCCTGTATGTATACATAGACTTGGAACATATCTTCTATGAATACGAGGGTTGTAATGTATTTCTTAATTGACTTATGAGTCTGGGAGCCAGGTTTCTTTGGTGTCTGAACTGACTCATTGGTTTCCAGTTCATTTCCAGGCACAATTCATTGTGCTGGCTATGATGTCAAAAGCCTCTGGGTTAAATCCACACTGTACAAAGTCCTCTTAGGTTTGAAGATCTTTAGAGAAAGCCTTTCTCTCCATTCTATCACCTCCATTTGTAGATTTATTGGGAACACAGTTTTGTGTCTTCTTAGGGCTTGCTCCCAGGTTGGAAATCAATCCCTAGGGATGCCAGGATGGCTTCCTTCTGGCTGTCTTTCCACGAGCAAATGAAAAATTTTCCTGACAGAATTTTAGGAAAGAAGTGAATTCTAGAGTTGTGTTGTTCTGCTAACTTATATATTTTTGTATTTTAAGAATTTATTTAAAATGTTTTTAGTACTGTAGATAGCTGAACTGCATTTTAATAACCATTGGTTTTGCTTACTGGTATTTGTTTTATTTTTTTCTAACCTGACTTGACCCTCAATTTTGAAAAACAGCAAGATATACATTATTAAGAAGAATTAAAAACATTAATTATTTTCTTCAATTGTTGCTTTATAAATGTGTTCTGGAGGAGAACAGACACTATTTGCAGGAAATGGGGAAAATTAAATTCAATCTCTTCAGTAGTCATGGACCACAGGTAGTTAGGTGAGGGAGGAGAATGCTTCCATAAATATCATGGGATTCAACCACAAGGAATTAAAAGATACATATGCCAGCTGCACAAACTTACATGATTTTGGCACCAAATATTATTCAAATTTTGAGATATTTTCTAATACTTTGAGCAAATTTTGTCACATTTTTGGCCTCTGTTCTTTCTTGTAATAAATAACTCAAATACTATACATGTCTGCAAATTAATATCTTCAGCTCAGTATTAAGATGAAACTGAGAAGTGGGCCATGTTCCTCTTTACCTTTTTATGGTAAAGAGGATATTTAAATTTGTATCTTTATACCTAAATCTGGATTTTAAATTAAATGTTCTAACTTGAAATTTGAACTTCTGGCAAGGCTGTATATATCTGGTGATTATAAACAACAACAATTACAATGCTATTTAAAATAATTTCAAATTAGTGAGTTGCCAATGCAATTTTTGTGTATTTTTATTTGAAAGTACTGCAGAAAAGCTGATATTATAAAGTATACCCATTATTGTTTGATATATCTTCTCTTACAAGGGATGAACAGTAATATTGGCTGTGTGATATTCATTATTCCGTACTCTGAATAAAGATATTCTTACCTTGAGATTTATATGTGAAATTGTGCTAACTACAAAGAAAACTGAATATGGTTCTTTTTCTTTCTGCCAGAAAAAACGTAGAAGATTTCACTGGCCCAGGAGAAAGAAGTGACCTTGGAATCATTACTTTTGACATTACTGCAGATATCCTTTATAGTAAATGCTAGCTGTCTGCTGGAAAATATATCTTACTTTTAAATTAAGATTAATAGAAGACTGGAAAGATGAAATGTCTTTAAAGTTAGTTGTAGAAAAATGTAAGAACATAGAATGCATGATATATTTGCTGAAAATGTTAAAACCTAAGCGTTAGATTAGTAGTTGAGGCCCCTTAAATCATTGACGATGCTTAACCTTTTTGATTTGGACAAATGTAACATTTCTGAATCTCTTAGCCTTGACTGAATGGATTATGGACTTGTACAGTTCCTCTGCCTCCTATATTATCTGTATATTTCTTTTCCTCTCAATTCTGTGGTGTCACTTAACATCTCTACAGAGAATTGCTTGGCACAGTTATCTTTAACCAGTCCTAATAAAACGCTTTCGAAACCTGCCTTCAGACTTTGGTTCAAAACCAATTAGTGGTCTCTTTGAAGCATTTGTTTTATATGTTTATGAAGGGCACTCCACCAGCGTTAATCAGAGAAAAGAGTTTATTAATATACTGTTAATCCTTTTATCTCAGCTGCCTATTTGTTGTCACTTAGCATTCTCCCTGTTCTTTGTCCTTTAGAACATCCTCTTCTGTCATTATTCTCTCATCCTTTTCTTTCAGTCCTGGTTTTTCTCTGATGCTAATTCTCTATTTCACCCAATTCCTAAGTGTGCATTACTTATACTTCTTGCTGGGCTTTCACATACAGATATTCACTCTATTTCCACACTTGAGTGAGAATAAATATTAGGATTGGTTGGCTATGAGAAAACAGACAGACTGACACCAACTTTACCATATCTCTCCGAATCCAAAGATCAGTTGAACATTCATCCCTATTCACTTTTGTCAAGTATCTCCATGTTGCAGATGTTCCTGCACTATTTTGAAGTCCACCTGGTCTTATGTTATGCTGGCCTATTCCAAGTGCTTGCATTAGTCTGGTAGGACTTTTGACTTAAAACTGCAAGCTTAATGACCTAGATCCAATAGGTCCTGCTGTCATGGCAGGACCAGAAAATGCTCAGAGACCAGTAATCCTTGTATTCTGCTTAGAATTCTAGTACACAAAACCCAGAAAAATGTGGGATTTCATTCTCCAAATGTCAATCTTACAAATAAATTAGTCAAACTCGCATAGTACCTATCAAACATTCAATATCAATATCTGGTATCCATGTTTTAATTGGGTATTACATTGTGTTTGAAGCAAAATTTTAATCATAAAATTTGTAAAATTAAATATTACTTGTTTTTAAAGGATTTGCTTTTTGGAGACTTCACATTTAGAGATGAGTTACGCCCTTTCTACACAGCTGTATACAATCCAGATTATCTGCTTTGAACTGGATTATATGGCAGTCTAGACTCAGATAATCCAGTTCAAAGCAAATCATGTGGATTATCTGCTTTGATAATCTGGATTATATGGCAGGGTAGAAGGGGCCTTAGACTCACTGAAGAGTTCATGGGGATGCAGTGTGTTTGGAAAAGAATGTTCTGCTTTTCAGCAAAACAGCACTTAAGCGTTGCAATGTGTAGAAAGTTCAAGATTCAGAAATTAAATTACATGAATCCTTTGCACTACAGAGATCAAGAATTTAGATTTTAAAAATATAAAGTGTTATGTAATAAAAAGAGATGACTTACAGGTTCTCAAGTGCCTTTTTTAAAAGCTTGGGTTGTTTATAGACATTAAACAAAGCTTTGAAAGGAAACAAAATTGCATATGGTGTGTGTTCCTTAACCTCCTCACATCTGCATAGCATATTCGACTGGAATGTGAAACAATTATTTCTGTATTTATCAGCAGAATATTCAACAAAAAACAATGTAAGTATGAATTTGGGAGTAGAGTAGTCTCATATGCAGAAGGGATATGATCCTTGTTTCAGTATAAGAAGGGTAGGAAAAAGTAGTCTTGTGGCACAGTTTGACAACTGATTTATTCCAGCAAAAGCTTTTTAGGGCCAAATAATACTTGAGTGCAGAGTACAGGCTTGGGCAAACACATAAGGAAAAGTATTGTTTGAGAAATTATTGGAAGAGAAAAATATGATAGCATGGTAATGGGATGACAAATAAAAGTCCTAGTACTAGCTGGTTAGAATTGTTCAAATAATATGGCTGGGTGAGAAGTATATATCATAAAGGTGAGGGGTAACAGATGTAGACATTACTGATGATCATTCAGTGTCTAGATAGCTGATAGGTAGAATATTTATTTTATTTATTGTGTCAGAAGCAAGTTGAAGGTACAGTTAAAATGCATTTAAAAACACAAAGTTAAAAAACTTGGCATTATGCTAAATGTCCTTTGACCAGAAGCTGGCTACTTGGTGTGCCTTTGTCGCTGTGAGAAGGTCCTCCATTGTATGTGGCAGGGCTCAGGTTGCATTGTAGTAAGTGGTCTGTGGTTCGCTCTTCTCCACACTCACATGTTGTGGACTCCACTTTGTAGCCCCATTTCCTACGATTGGCTCTGCATTTTGTGGTGCCAGAGTGTTTTGTGGTGCATGTTCAGTGTCTTCCAGGTTGCCCAATCTTTTGTGTCCCCAGGAGAGAGTTTCTCATCCAGTTTCAGCCACTGATTGAGGTGCTGGATTTTAGCCTGCCATTTTTGGATTCTTGCTTGCTTAGGTGTTCCTGCGAGTATCTCTCTCGATTTTAGGAAGCTGTTTCTTGACCTAAGCTGTTGTCATGCTGGCTGGTATCCAAACAGAGGATGGGCTGGCGATGTCACTGCCTTGGTCCTTTCATTGCCTTGGTCCTTTCATTATTGTCTGCTACTTCCCGCCGAATGTCAGCTGGTACAAACAGTATAATTTCTGCAGTGGTGTAGGCTGTAGACATCCTGTGATAGGCATGTTTCATTAAGAGCCACATCCACTGTTTTAATGTGGTACAATGTATTCCACACTGGGCATGCGTGTTCAACAGCAGAGTAGCAAAGCGCAACGGCAGATATCGTCACTGTATCTGGTTGTGCTCCCCAGTTTGTGTCAGTCAGTTTTTTGTACAATATTATTTCTAGCACTCACTTTTTGCTTGATATTCAAGCAGTGCATAAGTCAGAGCACGGTCCAGAGTGACTCCCAGGTATTTTGGTGTGCTGCAGTGCTCCAGTGGAACTCCTTCCCAGGTAATCCTTAGAGCTCGAGATGCTTGTCTATTCTTAAGATGAAAGGCATAAACCTGCATTTTAGATGGATTAGGAATCAGCTGGTTTTCATTGTAATAGGCAGTAAGTGCACTTAAAACTTCGGAGAGCTTCTGTTCAACCATTTCAAAGCTCCCTGCTTGAACGGTGATGGCACAATCGTCGGCATAGATAAAGCTTTCTGTCCCTTCTGGCAGTAGCTGGTCATTTGTGAAAATGTTAAACATTGATGGAGCAAGCACTCTCCCTTGAGGCAGGCCGTTCTTCTGTTTTCGCCATCTGCTTGTTAGGATTTTTGATGCTGTTGCCAGACAGTATGTGAGACAGTGTTCGTAGAAGGGTCTTTCTCATTCATCTTACGTGGTTTGGTATAGCAAAATAGTTTCAGATTGAAATTTTCTTTGTAAGCTAGTATAGATCTGCCACCACAAAGATTACTGTTCAGAATAGCTTATAGGTAATTCCCTCATTCTGTCAGAAGGTGACAACTATTGTTCTATTAGATGGTTTTCTGCTTTGGGTTTATCTTGCAGTAAATTTTCTGTGAATATCAGTGTCACCTTGTCAAATTCATGAGTTTTGAGTCCCTGGCTCATAGGTCTGAGCAGGCGTGATTCTATCTGAGCATAAGAACCTCCTATGGACTTTAAATCTGGTGCTTCTCATTCATCACCACACTAGCATGTTTTGCATTTCTTTTACATTCCCCTTCTCCCCATGTCTAGAAGTGTTTCTCAATCAGGCTGCATTCTATTCCCAAAAAAGTGTGGGTATTTTCAGAAACAGCTTAAAAGTAAACAGATTTTTTTAAAAAATAAAAATTGATTCACCTTGTCATATTTAAAATAACTAAAGCATGTAGCAAAAAGGCTCAGTATGAAAATATATGTTCCAGTTTAGGCACTGGTGAGAGAGGTGTGCCTTGGCTTAGTTTGCTCCAAAATGCTTAATTATTCAAATCCTCAAGCATCTGTATTCATATGTTCAGTTCTTTTGATCAGTGTGTGTGTTTTGTTTTTACAAATGGATGCTGAATTAACTTGGTGAACTAACTGTAATTGTAGGCTTTGAACCAGGTTGTCCTCTGGGACAGAATCATTTTGAGAGGAGATAGTCCAAAGTTGCTTTTGAAAGATATGAAATCAAAATATTTCTTCTTTGATGATGGAAACGGTCTCAAGTGAGTAAAACTTCATTCAGTATTATTTTGTAGCCATATTATATTTGTGATCACATTCAGTTCTAGAGATGAGAAAGTTCTTTTACAGGAAGAGAGTAGAGTTCCAAGAATGCATTCATGTCCACATATCTGTCCTTGAAGAACAATATTATACAGCATTGTCAGCACTAATTTTGCAAACAGCCGTAGATTATATAGTTTACTATATGCAGAATTTACAAGCACTTTTCAGTATGACCCCAGTATCTATGGGATTGATATCTACTGTTTCATTCTGCCAAAATATGTCTTCTTTAGGCCCTTTCTAGCTTCTCCAGCATGATTCTGTGATATTCTTGGGCTAGAAGTCCCTTGTTTTAATAGAGTTCACTATTTCTGCAGGTTTTGTCTATCCACACAATACGGGGGTCATATTGTATTTTGCCTTTGCCAGTTGGAAATTACAAGAAGGTTTACATAGTAGGGCCACAGTGGCCCAGCGAGTTAAACTACCAAACTGCAGAACTTTCTGACCAGAAGGTTGGTGGTTTGAATCCGCAGGATGGTGTGAGCTCCCGTTGCTAGCCCCAGCTTCTGCTAACTTAGCAGTTGCATGAAAATATTCAAATGTGAGTAGATCAATAGGTACCGTTCTGCCGGGAAGGTAATGACATACAGTCATGCCAGCCACATGACCTAGGAGGCGTCTACTGACAGCCAACTCTTTGGCTTAGAAATCAAGATGAGTACCACCCCCAGAGACAGACTCAACTTAATATCAAGGGGAAACCTTTACCTTATATAACTTGGAATTGTAGCCCCTCTCCTGTGTATAGATGTGAATTAAAATGAAGAAATAAAACCAATGTCATGAAGCATAAAACCAATGTCACAAGCGTGGTTGGTGGGAATGAGAGAGAGGGCCTTCTCTGTGATTGCTCCCCACCTCTGGAACTCCCTTCTTAAAGAAATAAAAATGGCACCCACCCTCGTCTCCTTCAGAAAACTTCTGAAAATACATTTAGGCACGTTAGCATACGGAGAAGAGGAGGACTAGCACAATCGGCACTTTATGGCGTTGTAGGGGGGGGGGGGGGCGTATGAACTGGATCTTCTGCTCTCTTCCCGCAGCTGCTTTTACTAGCCTCTCATCGCAGGGCTCCGGGCTGTCATTTTGTGTGTACGTGTGTTGGACTCTTTATTCGCTGTGTCCTTTTTGGCCCGCGTTGACTCGTGCGTTGTGAATGGGTTTCCTCATCTGGTGCCCACTGCTTGCTTCCTGGTAAACTTGTTTCTGTGGTCTTGCGCTCCAAAAATAATGTCGGACCGTCTTCGCCGATCCCGCCCCCGGGGCTAAATTTGGTTCTGTCCTTTCGCCTGTGCCTCTCGCTGGTCTGTCGAATCTGTGTCCTTGTCTCCCATCCAGAGATGACACAG